GTCCTATTTACATCGTAATAAAATACTTTGCAGAAGTGTTGTAGGGCAACGTTTTAAACATACAGATTTACTGAAATTAAAGGCATTGGAAAAAGCTGTCTATGTTACTACACAGATTCTATTCAGAAAAGGTATTTACCAATTAGAACTTTGCTTGGCTCAGTGTGGACCGTCAAAGTAGGACAACAATAAGGACCATATAATTATTTCATAATTTAGCTAAGGCTTGGTCAGATAAGCCCTCTAGAAAATGAAAACACACCCAAACCAAAAACCACATACCAATGTTTAACGCGGCATTTTTTGCATAAAATTCGCATAAAATAATTTTAAACAAACCTAGAGGCTGGCACATCAAAAACAATTAAACATAGGGAATTTGGAACTTGTACAGTGAAGTTATTGGCAAGTATATTGGAGGAATCACAGATCTGCAATATTTCCTATGCCTATTTTTTTTTTTTCAAATTCACACAACAGAACTCAGTAGTGAAATGGTGGATCTAGTGCAAACTATAAACTGTGAAGGGTCTTAGTTTTTCCCATTTCTCTAATTATTTCCAATTCTTTCAATTACATTCTTGTTTCATCACTCCCCAAAGAAGTACAACTCTGACAACACTACATTGCCTAAAAATCACATACAAAACATTTTCCTATCATTCGCAAAAGCACATCAGGTGAGTACAGGAGAGAGCTGCAGCACAATGGGGAAGAGTTGTAATAGCTTCAATTCTCCTGTACTCCTCCTTTATTTCAAAAAGTACTGTAGAAATAGTCCTGCAACTGCAAACCTCCTAAAAACTTAGGTTGCTCTTCCGACTTTTTGAAATATTTCTACCTTTTTCAGAACAGTGAAGAAAAATGCTGTTAACTAATACATTATCTGTGTATCAGGAACTAAACAGTGGGGCTCCACCTGTATCATTTAGACAAAAGGCTATCTCACAAGATTTAAGTTACTTCAGAAGACAACTTGTTATTCTCTTATACACATTTCATGAGTTCTTTCCTGAAACTGTTGTATTATCAAAGTTTTCAGCATTATCCCCATTGTTATATTCCAAGAAAAAAAAAAACAACAACAAAACAAAACACCACATGTCAGTGAAGTCTGTAGATTGTAACAGACACCCATCTTTGTCCTTTCTATACATGCAGATACAACCTAAAAGATCACCTACAGCGGAGACAGGAAAAAGCTGTAGCTAGTCACTGCACCCATGAATTTTCAAAACAACGTGACTGCTATTTTTTCTTAGATCACACTGTGGCTAAATGCTTCCAACAGCCCAGACCACAGCCTTGCCATTCTCTCTCTTTTTTTTTTTTTTTTTAAACTTGGAATATCTGCCTGAAAAGAAAACAACTGTTGGATGTTTTAACATAGTAGTTTTAAACATAGTAAGGAATATATTCATCTCTCATATTATAGCTTGAGGTTGTAAACATACCAGTTGTTGTCTCCTGTATTCACCTGGTTACACAAAGGTTCAACTGCACCTCTTAGGAAGCAGGGAAAACCTTACTTTAAAAGAGCAGCAACACTGCTTAGTCTTTGTAATCACCAGGGAGAGGCTCTCTGTGATGTACAATGTCACCTGAAACCTGAGGTACAACATATACAGGAGGACAGGAAGACTAAAGGAGGTTGGCGAGACACCAGTAGGAATTTCAGATTCAACCCTGTAACTCCGTAACGTGTGAATTTTTCCCTTTCACTTTCATTACCTATGTTTTCTATTAGGCTTGTAACACTTTTGCCCATTTCAGAAATATTTTCATTTTAAATTTAATTAAAACTGGCTTGGAGTGATGTCCCAATAACTGGATAGTACTAAAGCATTTCTTACACAAGGCTGTGAGCCAATTCTATAAACCAGAGTATTTGGTCAACTTAAGCAGTTGTTTAACTCCCCGGCACGTTCTCCAGCGCATCTCAAATGTAATCTCAGACTGCCCCAGATGGAATGAGAACTGATATCCCATAACTAAGTAACTGTCTTGCAGTGAGAGACAAGAGGCTCTACAGCATGAAACGGGAGCCCCACGAACTCTGCAAATCTTCAGAGACTTCATTACTCTCATTTAGTGTTGTAAGTTCACTATTTACTTCTAACATAGATCTCTTAGTCTACTTGTTCATTTAAGCAGACAGATTAAAGAAGCTTTTCCATACCTAATATTGTCTCCCACGAGAAGATATTTATTCACTGAAACAAGTCCCCTTTGAATATTCTCTTTTGATAAGCTAAACATTCCTTCAAACCTGAAATTATTTTCAAAGAAGTTTCAATGACACCAATTTTTCAACACTTTTTTTTTTTAAGTATGGCCATTAGGGATGGCTGTCAAATTTATTTAATAAGAAGTATTTTACCTAAGCAGTGCTGACTGTTATCCATAGGAATTTGTGCTGGGACTCATGCTGTTCAACATATTCATAAGTGACCTGAAAACGGGAGTGAACAATGGAGCAAAAATCTGCTGATGATATTAACTAATTAGGGGAGCAAAAAGAAGGGCTGACTGAGAGGAACTGCAGAAGGATTTATGAGACAGACTGCTTGGACAATAAGACAGAAGATGAAAAACCTACAGACAGTGACACAAACGGGGGGAAAAAAGTCCCAACTTTCCATATAAAACAAAAGAGGAAACAGTTGCCAATAAAGGCAAGATCTTGGGATTACAATAACAGTTCCTGGAAACAACTTGCTTTTTTGATTACTACTAAACTTTGAGCTAACAGAATGTTAGAAATTATTAAGCAGAACACAAAACGCTTTCTAAAGTCACTGTATAAATCTAACACGCACTTTTATCTTGAATTTTGCATGCAGTCCATGTGCACTCTCTTCCCCTAAAAAAGGATACAGAACTGAAACGCTGCCACAGAAGGTTGTCAAGGATGCCAAGTGGCATCTGTACAAGGCATGATCAAGTAATCCAAGGACTCTTCCTTTTGGAAGAGAGGTAAACTGAAGATTTAGTGTGAAGAAAACAGAGATAATGACTGAAGTCCATAATGTCAGGAGTAGCCTCAAGAAGTTGCATAAAAAACAAGGTAGGGTTTATGTAGAGAAGGTAGAAAATGCCACGTTCAAATCAAGCAAAAGAATGTGGTACTGGACAGAGCTGAGGAAATCCTTCCCAGCTAGGTGCTATGAATGCAAGGAGTTTACATGTGTTTAAAGAGAGAGTGCATGAGTTCATGAAAGAGAAATCCATTGAGGCATTGAGGGTCACTAATACAAAGACAGCAATTCTGGCCCAGGAAGCCTATGCAGAATTCTTGAGCTCTAGTTACCCAGGTTCAGCGATTTAAAAACATTTACCCTTTTTAGCTCCAGTTTAGCATCATCCTAAATTAGTAATAAAGCCAGAAAATAGTACATTATATGAATATGTAACACAGTTTCTTCACAAAATAAACCAAAAACTTCCTGAGCTCTTCTGTTTTTAATCTTTTCTGAGTTCTGATTTTTTTTTCCTGATTTTCTTTTCTGAATTCAAATTGAATCTGAATCAGAACTTCCATGATAAAAGAAAAATGCAGTGTAGCACGTGTATGTAATCTGCGGATGCCCTTTTGGGTGTCCTATTTGAAAAGATTTTGCTACTTCTAGAGTTCTTCATTTACCATCTTAGTAGCGAAGTGAAGGATTTAACAGAAACAAAACCTCAGTTTTCCCCACTGGTAAACCTTAAAGTCACAAATGCCTCACTCTGACAGGAGAGTAGGTCTGGTGCTGCCTGTGGAGACTAAGCAAGCCAGAGAGTGCACAAAGTCTCAAAACCACTTGGACGACATTGACTAACAACAATCTGTGTGCAGAAATATTCCCAGGTGAAGTACTGGCAAAAAAACAGTTTGTCAAATGGCTACTTTGTATATGTCACAAAAGGAAAGGAGACTACCAACAATAGACAGTGTTTTGACTGTAGGTCTCTTTTTAATACATCTTCAAATTGAACTACACATATTTATTTAGCACCTGAGAGAAATACTAATTCCAAAAGTATACACACACCTTCTCTTGTGTACAAAAAAATGTACAAAAATTTGTCAAACATTAGTGACTTGTGCTGAATATCTGTGATGGAAATTCCAGACTTAATTTGATTTTTTTAAAATATATTTTTTTCTGGAAGTCATATTTACAGAATGTTCAAAACAATTACTTCACCAGGACCATGCTTTGCATACAAGGACTGCTATAGAAAAAGCACTGTATTTGTCTTTTCTTGGGCACTAGAAAATAATTACAATAAATTATGTTATTGTTTCTATTATATCACTTACAGAAGACACGGTTAAATACTTCTTAGATTAACTCTTTCTTTTAAAACACCCATCACTAGAAAGACATTCCAGTGTCTGAATGGACTTGTTTAACAGGAATCTGGTTTTTGCAGTGTTCCTCAGGTATGCTAGCTCAGTTCAGTAATGGGCAGGAATTGCGAGTTAAAAGAGCCATTGGGGAAATAACGATATAGTGTGCCTACATGAATAGTACAAGGGAATACTGATAAGACAAGTCAATCAACTGAATCGACTATTCAGTTTGTATCTCTTTTCAACGTATTTACAAGAAACTGACACAAACCAACAACTACAGTTTAGAGATACCAAGTTACAACGTATCTGAAAAAACAGTCCAGCAAAAATGAACGCTACAGGAACGAGTGTTAAATCATGCTGTACTCAAAAGACACTTCTGAAACCTAATGCTCTTGAAAATTCTGAAGACATCAAAAGGACAGTAAACAAAGACATACTTGTCACTTCAGATGTCAGTAATGCACAAAACTTCTACAAGCCAGAGATCCTAGACAGTGTATAGCTTAAAAATCTCCACCAGATCTAATTTTTCTAAATACCCAATGAAGTGAACCATACCTTCTATATACAGTGTTCTTCAGGTGCACAACATGCTACATTAGTGCTTGTCAGTCAAAATGAGCTACAGATAAATAAGGTAATTGTTCACACTCACCTAAATATGGAATAGTAGGAACCATTTTTAAGCTTCTGATATACTCTCGTGTCCTTTTATAATTATCTTCCTTAGACAGTAAATAGTCTAACTTGTCAAAGGTGGTCTTGTCTTTGCGATTCAAAAGCTACATAGAAAAAAAAAAGGAGATCATAAAATTTTAAAAGACAAATCTGCACAAAGACAACAACAAATAATAATTTGTTGAATCACCCACAGTAAAGGAAAGCATAGTCAAGTTCATCATCATCACCCAAACGAGCACAATGTTTGAAAACGTGCTGTTAAGGGAAAGAAAAAAATTTAAAAAAAGGCAATTCAGCATAAGTCTTAAGCTATGAACAAATATGGTTATTATTTCTGAATAGTTTATCAAGGATCACCTATCACTACCTCAGCTTTGTATAACCTCAGCAATATTAAATTTGTAGGGGAAAAAAAATATATGTTATTATACAGTCACCAATATTCTCATAATTTATCAGAATTATTGAAAATCCTCTTGAATTTGAAAGTAGAAATAGCAATGGAAAATGCTCTAAATAAATGCAAATTGTGCCATTTCAACTGTATCTTCTTAAAAGTATGACAAAACTTCTTGGAAAAAAGTATAAGTAAATCACTATGACACTTAAATCTCTGTTTTCTGTTACTAGACTTACTACAGAAAATCAGAAAAATATTTAGCAATGCAAAAGATCCTAAAGTGACAGAGACTGAAAAGTAAACACAAAATACACAACTGTAGCTGTAAAAACACATTCCCTATTTCAGCTGTTTTTAGAAACACCAGCAATATTTTAAAGATGATTTTAAAAGCCAATTGAGTCAGAATGAGTGCAGAATTATGGCACTGTACACTGGCTTCTTGCAGTTCTACTTTCTGACAACAGACAGCTGTTCCACAGCACATTTCTTAATACACCTCTTCCTCTGTAAAATTCCAACTCTTGTACTACACAGCTCATAAGCCTAGCTGTTCTGTTTCTAGAGAACTGTGAGTCTGCCCATTGTTATAAAAAAATACTGCAATGGATATGCATGAGTTAACTGCTTCATTCAGTCTTGCTCAGAACAGGATGGGCTTGACAGGAGTCATCAGTAAAACAGCATTGTAAATGGGAGCCCTGAGGCCCTCTGCAACTCTGCAACAGTGTGCACCACATCATAGTTAAATAACAGCTGTTAATAAAAAGTAACATAAAAGGTACAAGAGTGAAAAGATTTCAGAATAATTTTGCTGTTTTCTTTCTAAACAGCACTGAGAATTCCTTGAGGCCCTAACTCTGCACTGCATTGTGTTTTTGAACTACTGTGCCTACAAAGAGCCTTACACCTCTTTAGGTCTAAGTCCTGCAATGAATTATTCACACACCTAGTTTCACACGTGAGCAATTTTCCCTATTTACGTTCCAACTTCATCAAGCTGCTCAAAACAGCAGGCACTTACATTTTTATTAGACTATAGCCTAATTCTGAGCAATCAAACCATAAAAAAGTTACCGACATTTTAAAGACATAATAAACTTAGGTAAGAGTTAAGTATAGCCATCTTTATTTATCAGTTCTTAACAGTTAATGTGATCCACGTTGGATAGAATACTAAATTAGTGAGATTTACCTAATCCTTTGTATATTTAAAGATTACATACAGAAGGACTACATTATAATTGTGTATTCCACTTTAAAGAAATAGCAAAACTTACAGTAAATTTAAATGAGAGATTCTGCCCTCAAGAGACTGAATTTCTGAACATGGAATTATCAATGCTTTTAATTTCTAAAATAAATGAAAACTGAAATGCATTGTACAATAATCACAAAATTAATGTTTCTATATTTGTAATAGGTCTTTTTTCTTCCTTTCCTTTTAGCCAATGTATTAATGATACACACAATGATTTGGATAATGAGACACTGATACACACTCTATACGAGGGTCTTCTAAGATTACTTATCAACTAAAGTCCTCTTGAGCATATCATCAGAACAGACAGGAAACTCTTACAAGAAAAAAGATTGTTTAAAAATATACAGCCATTTAAACTCTACTTTCACAAAATATGTAACAGATCGCTATTTCCGCTATGATGGTACCACAAAAACATAAAGAATCTTCTTCCAGAGCATGCAATTTGACAATTCAGAAGAGTTCAGAAAACCTCAGAATTCAAACAAGACAGAAAAGACAATGGTCAAGGAATAACTTACAGCCCAGGTTTTGGTCAGTCTGAAGATAGGTGCACTTTGCAGTGCTGACACCACGGACATAAGAGAATGAAGGTTATTCAGTTCTAGAAGCTTCTGAAAAGGGGAATAATAACTTTTAGCACATCGAAAAGGGAAGCAGGATTAATTAATCCCAAAGTTGCATTAATAGATTACAAGTTTTTTTCATTAATAAAATACAAAGTTTTCATCAATGACTGCAGACAACAACATTAACCAATGCTGTCAATGTGCAGAATTCTTAAGACCACTTTAAAAGTTGCAAATTTTCCAAATATACCCCTCAAAACAACAGGCATTTCAGTTGTGAGAATACAAACTGTATTTAATTTGACTGTTATTTTCTAAGGCTGTTCCTTCAGGAACAGAAAATATGAAAAAATTATTTGATGTATTGTTCTTGAAAATGAGTATAATTTTGGAAATTAAAAATTTAATCAAGCCAAAAACATCAACCAAAAATGCTGATGATCCTTTCAGAGTTAATACAACTTTTTATTTTGTAATCTGTTTTACAGGACCAATTTTCCTCACTTCAACATACTTTAAATTCACTGTGTTGACAATTGCTCAAAACACATTGATCTCAAAAGAGTCAATACTTTGGAATAAAGCTGTCTTAGATGATAAAGTTTCCTACAACATAGTTCCAGAAAGATAGAAAAAATGGTAACTGCTGTCAGGTAGCTTCTTCATAAATCTTAGAAAGAGGCTGGATTCACCCTTGAGTGACTGGTTTACTCATTACTCAGGAGCATTTGAGGAAGATCTGGATTTTATTGAGGGGAAAAGAAGGAAAGGAAAAAAAAAAAGAAAAGAGATAGAAGGCAGTGTTTTCCTTTTTGCAGGGGAAACAAAAACCCCTTATTTCTAAGAACAACTTAGCACCTCCAAGATGACCATTCTCCTAGTACTTGGACTATGCATTTGTGCCAGGAAACTTATTCAGATACATTCTCTTCTGCATAAGCACAAAACTGCTAAGTAAACTCATTGGAAATATTCACAATACAAAAAAAAATTATTTTGTATTATATGGAAAATATTATTCTAATTATCTACACGCGTACACACACACAATTTCACATGTACAAGATTAGCACTCAGGCCTTTGATCCAAGTGCTGTCTTCTTACTAATATGAGTAAGTGTCACACAGGGTCATACAAAACAGAATGACCACAGGTCATGAAGCAGAAAAATTTTTTTAAAAATAAATATGTTTTTTAAAAAGTTAAGAACGACTTGTAAAATGCAGTGCTCAAACTCATTAAAATAATTGAGCTTCCACAGTGGTACTTTATACCAGCAACTACATGTTACAAGTAGGAATACAAGTCTCACAATAGCCGTTTTAGAAGCAAGAGATTTCTTTTCATAAAAGGTAAGTTTCAATGGGGGGAGACAAAAAAACTGAACAGTTTACAAGCATGTTCAGTGTTGGCAACACATAGCTGGCCATCAAGACAAATCGCTTGTTAGGCAAAGGTACAAGACGAGTCACACTGAAGTGGGTAGTTTTATTTAACGAAGTAAAAACAACAGATGTCATACCTTTATCTTATTCATGTGGTACAACATAGCAGATATGCTAAAAAAGAACATTACCCTCTGTAATCCAACAACGGTTCATAGGAGTAGTGCAGAAACAAACAAAAAGGAAGTAAGATTTTGAATGATAGTACAAGAAATTTGCACTTACTTTAGCTATTTTCACAAAATGGCTCAATATTTCTGCCCTTATTTTTAGGGTCTGTGCTGTTAGTATTTCTCGTACCCCAAAAACTCTGACCTATAAAGTAAACACATATAACAATTTATTTACAAAAAAAGGACTTTATTAGATGAAATATTTGTAAACTTTCATGATGCTCCAGGGAGAAAACAGGTTAAGGAAAGAAAAGAGTTCTGATCCCACAAATTCTTATCTGTATAGCTGCAATTACCCAAAAGCATTACCACTGGATACAAGAAGTAGTGTTGCTTCACCTCTCTAGCTAAGACAACTGAATGAGCAAGTGAAACACACAGAAAAAGAAAGAAAAGAATTGCTAATGTTGTACCATGACATATCAGCAAAAATTATTAGGAACTAATAATTACGAACCAATGGTCTAGAGGAACAACATAAAAATGGACAAAGCAATTGAAAACAGGAAATGCCATTTTAAAATCTTAATCTTCATTTAGAAAAATATTCTTAAGTTCTAATTCATAAGAGTTGTTCTATTTAACTTTATACTCGAAGACAACTGTCAAACAGTATCTGTTCATCACAGTAATCTAATAATTTACCTGGTTAAACCTCCTAGTAAAGGCAACAATATTTGGAGCAAGGATATGTTTTTCTTTCTTATTCCATCCACAGCTGGCTAGTTCCTAGGAAAGACATTTTAAAATTGCCTTAAAAATCAGTAATGTTTAAAAAACATTTAAAAGTGTAAAAACTGATACATGGCAGAAGCATCTACCAGGTAACTGCTAAAACCAATTCAAAACACTGGTCCGATGACAACTAGTCTAACCAAACACTTCTGTGTTTTCCTGATGTACATAAATGATGTGATTCATATATTCTCGTGATACTAGAAAAAACAGACATCATTATTAATATTCAGATACAGAGAGACTAAGCAATCAGCAATCACAACTGATGTCTCTGAAGTTTCATTCTGCATTGATTATTTCAGTCCAGCGTTCCCTTGTATGAGCAAATCAGCAGATACAGGAGTAAAGATTTTGCTAGTATATAATCTTATCTGGTTCAAAACTGAAGCTAAAGCTAAACATATTAATAAGCAATATTAGAGTAGTTAAAGAGTACAAAATTCAGCTGTGCAACTAGAGGTGGTAACCTAGCTATTATTCCTGAATGTCATCCTCATTATTATAGTTAGTAAAACTTCCATGAATACACCACAGTTTAGCATATCCAATCTCTAATTTTTTTTTTTTATTAAAATGTGAGCTCTAAAGCATTTGAAGAACACTATTTTGGAACCGTAATATTATTGTTTACCGTAGTTACAAACTAACTTTAAAAACCCCGAAATCTCCGTTCGTGATACTCGGACTGAGAGAACCTATCATTTGAAAAAGGCTGGACAATAACAGTCTTAAGTCTGAAGGTCTTCTGGTCAGAAGGTTGGGGTTAGAACTCTTTGTTTTATTCTTGTTTTTGTTGTTTGTTTGGGTTTTTTCGCTGTTTTTTAAGCCATAAGAGTTTAGCCAGACCTGACTGAAGCGTGGCATAGACTTTGGTGCTAATAAAGCAAAAAGTTGCCAGTAGGCTGCATAGTTCAGTCACAGTATTTGAAACAAATTTTTGAATGCTCTTCCATTACGGTGACTACTTCAAAGTCAACCCAGTTCAAAATAGCAAGAGGAAAAAAAAAAAAAAAAAAATCACAAATTCTGTAGTATACCCATAATCACAACTAATCAATTTCAATGCATAATAAAATCCCAGTGCTCTATGGCAAAAAATAATCTTTCACCTAAACTGCAAAATAAATAGTAGACGTTCCTGTGGGGAGTATAAAGTAAACAGAAGAGCTAAAAAGCAGATTAATGATTTTCTCCTTAAATAAACTGTATTAAATTACACATCAAAAGAAATTTGAAATTGTAACTACAAATTTGATTGAGCCAGAAAGAAAGTGTCCATTTTCCAATAGTTATTTCAGGCAGTTCCAAATATATTTAGACGGCCTGGCTCTTTTGAACTACAGATTCAAGTTACCACATATCTATACAGTCTTTATATTCAGATCTGACAAGTGGCAGATACATACATAATGGAAATGAGTTCTCCATAACTCCAGTTCTAAATCACTCTTCTGTTCTTAGAACCGCAAATTTCAATTTCAATCAAAACATTGTTCAACTTTCCAAATGTATGCTATTAACTTTAGATGCCTTTTGTAAAATAGTTTTTGTTTTTACTTGGTTAAATAAAGACGCCTTCAAAAGGCAGGGAGTCAGCCAAAGAGAATTCTGCCTCTGAAAAGCACGTTGTACATGCTGATAAATGGAACACACTCTCAAGATGTGGATGTCTGCGTGTTCCTGTGTGAGCACCAGGAAAAGCATTTCCAGTTCCAAACGTATTTTGTAACCCAATCTTCCAACATTTAAGCCTTCTGCAGATAAAAATGCCAATTTGCATGTCAAGACACAGATTCTCCACGATTGGTGCACGTCTGGTCTTAAGAGTCTGGAAATTATATATTTATGTGGAAAAATCTCAGTCACCCTACTAGGGACAGCAAAATTTACATTTGTCAGAAAAATGGAAGAGGTCAGTAACCTAAGGATATTAAGCAGTTGCCAGAGGGCTAGTGAGCAACAATGGAAAATCCTGTGCATGGTAAAATCATTTGACTAGGTTTAAAATTTGGACTGAATAGGAAGGTTGATAAGAGTAAGTGATCCAATATGCCCCTGCTGTATTTTTTTTATACTGCTAAAATGTACTGTGTTCTAGTACTACACTTCATCTTTTTGTATGGAAGGATGCAGGCAATTTCCTCAATGCACACAGTCACAAGAAACTTTCCAATCAAGTGTGCAAGAAAACCCTGAAATTTGTGGAGACTGCAATTTCCAGGACTTTGGAAAAAAAAAACCACCTAAATAAAGTTACATAGAAATCTAGAATGTAAGCATAATTATTTCTCCTGGAGAACAAAGAATTGTTAATCAGACATCCTCTTACTGAACTCTTGCAAAGTAACATGCAGATGTGTTTTTTAGTAATAGCTCAATCGAAAAGCAGAAAAAAGCCTCAGCAAGTGCTAGGTTTAAAAGATGTTTGTGTGTTTGAGACAAGACTTGGCAACCAGAACTCTGAAATCTTAAGTCTTTCCATCCATGCATAAGTTCGTTATGAAGACTAAAACCCGAAGAAAAAACAATATAATGCTCTTCCCCCAAACACAAAATTCAACAACAAATAACTCATTATAGCAGCCAGCCCAATGGTTGCTGACTAAGGAAACCGCCTCTGTACACAGTTCTGCCCTGGAACTTAGCTATGCGACATCTAGCAAACCATTTCAACCTCTCCATGCCTTTTTCACGCCCCCTTTCTAGCACAGGGAACTGGAAGTATTCACTGTTATTCACATACCAGTGTATTTACCACCACTTCCTGCATACAAAAGCTGATTCTGGAGAGCAATTGTGACCACCTTGCACAAGCAAGTATGAAAGGAAAAGCAGGGACCATAACTGTGCCTTCACCATACCCAGTGACGTAACAAAATGAGTACATTATGAAACACGGGTTTCAACCAAAATATTGGTCTTTCCTTCTTCCATGCATTACAAGGCCACCAAAGGAAGACTCCGACAAGGTAGAGTTCCAGTGTAAAATGGCAGACAACCATCTGGCCATCAACAATGCAAGAGCCAGTCATCTACATGAAACCCTGCAGGCCTCAAAGGAGTAGTTTATCAAAGGGTATCCAAGCTTACGGACACAGAAGAACGAATACACCAACTTAATTTAAAAGGCTACCAGGCCTCAAACAAATGCAGACAGTTACAGACTATACATTAATATTCGATTTGACCAGAAAATTTTAACCTTCTTAGTCTAATAGCTTACCTAATAACAAGAGACAGGTAGATGACAAATACACAACTATATCTTGCTTTAAAACCTAGTCCTACAGCTGGCAGAATTTCAGGATAGAAACAGTTGTTTATTTTTGGCAAACAAAAAATTGAATTATATCGGTAATTCCAGTAAGATGAAAGTCAGAAAATAGAATTAAAATCTAATAGTTTATGGCAACTGTTACTCATACACAGACCTGTATTCTAGCAGAAGCTGAAAATATGTTAGTGAGAAATGATCAGAAAAAAACTAAGTTACATCTATCTGCCAATCAATCAGAGTAGCACTTCAGGAAATTTCATTTCCAAACGGCGAAATGAAGAAATGACAAAGGAAAAGAAGAACAGCAAATCACTATTTTGTTTTGCCATAAAATTCTATGGCACAGATGTTTCATAGCAATTAAAGCAAATCCAAAATTCACTTTAAATATGAACATCTGCAGTTTTGTATTTTATTTTGTGTTCATTCATCTCCTCAGAGTATCACACTACCTCTGCTTTTGGTGAAACCTCCATTTTGTTCTAACTGATGTTTTTCTTAGCAAAATTTTCTCGAAAAAGTATCTATGTTTCTAATTGTAAATACTGATATTCTTGTGTTAACAGATTTTTCTACAGGTGATGCTGGTTTCTTATTGCATTGTTCATTTGCCATTTTTTTCCCCACAGTAGACTCCCTGACTGCCTGGAGAACACATGTAATTTCAGAAGCATGAAAGTTGTTTTCAGCTACAAAACTGCCTTGGTGTTCTTGAAACAAAATTAATTTATGTGACAGGAGGGCCAGACACCAGATAGATTAATTTTTATTTTCCTTCCTACACTTTCTCAAAATAGAAGGCTGCTAATCTCTCTGAACCACTGCAATATACAATGAGTTGTTTTGTTAGTGACCAAATTAGATGGATTGAGCTTCTACTAAGAACCTTCTAAACTGGACTGTCCTTTCTGATGTAAAAAATTCAGTTCCACTAATATTACATGGGTTTTTTTCCCCTTTAAGTATTCATGATATTCCACCTTGGCACAAGAAGACAATAAACCATAATGGATCTATGCACATGTTCCTATATTAAAGAACTTGAAGCTGGAAACAGACAATTCTTGTATTTTTTGCAGAAAAATTTATTTCATCAAAATACCAAGATTACATACCGCTTTTATGCAAATTCAACATATTCTGATAACTACCTTCATTCTTTATTTTTGAAGTTCTTATTTCTGATTTTCAAATGTCTATGTTAACTTTGATTGCTTTTTCTCAACAGGTCTCAAGTTTCTTTCTGTCCTTCTTAAAAGGTTAAATAATTAAAGGACACTAATACATTAACTTTTAAGGTTTGGGGCTGATTTATTCCCTTCAGAATTGAATCTTAAACATGATAGTACAAATTTAAAAGTTTACCAAGCGGCTGATGCAGCCTAAAATACAGGTTATGACTAGAGGCATAAGTCAAACTCCGAAACGAGATGTGAACTGAAAAACAGGAGCAGAAGGGAGAGTAAAGAATTTTGACATTTGATAAATTTATCGTGAAGAAACACTCAACACAAAGCAGGACGGGAAGACTTCCAGAAAAACAGTCATCTCTTTTGGCAATAGATGACAAATCAAAGTAAATCAGGCTGGGTTACAGATTCACAGTGCTAACAAGAAATAAGCCCAGAAGAATATTAGTGCAGTGCAAGAAGTTGAGCATTTTTGAACAAAAAAGCATTATTTAAACGGTTACATTTCCTCAGGCACTGAGTTCCAAAGATGTAAACAGACAGTTTAAGAAAACCTACCTCAGGCTGTATAGCTTTAAATACTGGCATATCCATCAATGTAATCTGGCTCTGCAATGAAGACAAAATTTTAAATAATGTAATACAAAGAGCTAACAATCATGTATTTACATCTGCCCTTTAGTAACCACAAACCACATGGTCACATTTTCTCCATAGATCAGAACTGAATTCGGCCTCCCCTGTCCAGGCTGACAGACCACGAGCAGAAACTCCACCATCCTGAGTGGCAACATACTATATTCTCTTACATTTACCAGCTGTAACTAAGTGAAGATTTTCAGTACCTGCAGCAGTCTAAGAGGAAAAACCTGTGTTTGAGAGTCTTACTGCCTGGGCCCTTTATTGACGTAACAGAAATGGCAGAAGAATTACTTGCCTTTCACACAGAAAGCAGCATACATTTTACATTCACTGGGTTGAAAGGCAATAAAGCATTATGATGTGTTAATTAGTTATGATTGGAATATGCTTTAAAGGGGTCATACACAGATTTTCAGTCACTGATGAGTATGTCCTGATACAACATTGTAATGTTGTTTCAAAGCCAATGATTTTGAAAAAAAGCATTTATAGAACATTTTTAGCATCTGAGTGATAAGATACTTGAATTGCTTCAGAGATTGAATGACATCATATATTTGGAAGTTATGTAAATTATGTTTAACCAATAGGTACTTCAATTATACTGTGAGTGTATAAACCTACAGAGCTTTGAACTTTGTAATTTACACGATTTAATGTGTAAAAGAGTGTCAAAGAACCCTTCTTTGGATCTTTCCCCAGCAAAGCTTCTCTGTTGGCCATTTTGTTACGCTCAAACCCAAAATAGCAAAAACTTGCTAATCCCCTCTCAAAGCGCTTGTTTGATTCCACCAATTAAGAACGATAACTATCTATTTAAATATAGTTTTAATAAGGTTTCTACTATTAGTATGATTCCTCAGACAGGAGCCTAGAAAAGTTAGAGGCCCATAAAATTTGACAGACATGAAACAAAATTCCTTCCATAAATGGTTAATTTACACTAACTTAACATAATATAAAAGCAAGAGATAAGTCAAAGGTTTTGCCACAAAGCCCTAGCCAAACACTCTTAGCAGCACTCAATTTTGAGATTTATACTTCTGAGTAATGTTTGGGTATTTACAAACTCAGATGTCATTAAGATCTCGCTCCTCTCCTAGAAAAACTGCAATTGCAAATGCCTGTTTGCAACTTCTTGACTGTCTCCTAATAAGATGAACAGCAGAGGCTCCAAAAAGCTGACTATAAGCCATATTATGTGACATTAATAAAGAAGTTTTCAGTGAGAATTAGTAATCTTTTCAACAAGACACGGGTTCAATCAAAATCACCAAAAAGATTAAAACAAAGTTCAGTAGTATTGACAAGCTGCTGGTCTTTTCGTTATATATGTGATTACCACCAGGGAATTTCTCCTCTGCAGCTTCTAAATTTTAAAAAGGAACAAAACACACTAAATTTGGAAGTGACCTTAACTTGGCTCCATTCCCTTTCTCTGAATATCTATATTCAATATAGCAATCCCATCTTCTATAGATTTCTGCCCTGATGTCCAGTAACCAAATTGTACTAACTTCAGTAAACCCAGACCTGCGGTTCTTTTCATTCTCCCCAACTGAACTGTTTCAAGTTAACTGAAACAGACTACCACGGTCTTGAGTAACAAGAAACGGTATGTAAAATTTACTGGTTGCTATTATTTACTGAAAAAAGAAATTATCTGCTTCTCTGGATGGAACAGAAGCAGTAATTACTTGAGCTGTTAATAAAAAAAAGAGGATCAGCATAAACCAATGAAAAGGTTTTAATGTGTCACAAGAAGAATAGCTACTCTAGCTAAGAAGGCCTTGGCGTTAAAAGTTTGTGTGACCGTATTAAAATCAACATTAACGAACAAGCCAACCCCAAACAAACAGCCCTACCACTAGGGGTTACATATGATCTTTTTCAAGCCTCGCTGCCAGTCCTACAGACACACATTTCAATTTTTGGTTTCTTTGTGGGTTGGTGGGGTTTTTGTTTGTTTGTTTTGTTGATGGTTATGGGTGGAACTGGAGAGAGAAAACCAGCTTACAGAAGTTTGGAATTCAGAGTTAAAAGATATGTCACAATGATATAAGGGGGGGGGTGTGCCCACGTGCACGTGTTTTTAAAGTGTACCATTAAATCAAGACCCTCATCAACAAGCTTCCGTCTCAAACCAACAGCAGTAGGAACTATGAACATAATAGAAAACTGATGAGTTGTAAGTTACAAGCAACCTTGACTTGATCATTTTATAAATACAGTTCTGAGATCACCACAAATTCATTTTTGCTGGTGTAGACTACACACTATGTTCTGTGATGTCTTTGGACTTAATATTTGGTCTCCTCTGATGAAATCAGACATCTCTATTTTTGTGTGATTTTACAGGCCTGCCTAAATTGTAATGCTGTTCATTTCTGGAGGTAGTCCTTGGCCATGAATCATCTGAACTTGGATGAATAGGAGCAAAAGCATCAGGCCATTTTTTAACTGAGTTGATGCAGATTTGCCAACCAAGTATTTTTATATTTCTACCTAACAACAGCTCTCATCTGTATACTCTGTATTACTCTTAAAAAAGACTCATCAGAATTTGTTCCAAAGTGACAAACTTATAGGAATAATGTAGGCATATCTCCAGGACTTTTTTGTTAACGGCTATTAAACGATCTTACGCCAAATGAGGGAAACAACATTTTGATGCCCAGAATATTAATGAAAACATTGAACTAGGTTCAATAGCTTTCATCCTCACTCCTTCCTGCTCCCCAGCAAGTTAACATAAATTGAAAACAAGGGACCAAGCACAAGAACTGTACTGGACTTTTGCCAAAACTGCAGTTCTGCTTTCAGTTTAGTACAAAAACTTGTTATTAAGGAATGCAAATTGTTTCCTCTATACAAGCTTCTTTCCTGCTTTTAAGAAACTGATTTTTCTGAGAAACTGGTGTTTCAGCAGAAAAGATGAGTATTTGTGGTTTCAATTAAAAAAAATGAATCAGACTGTAGATAACTAACATCTTTAAACCTATGCTAGGGTCTTCTAAAACACTACAAAATTCAAATGGCTTTATACAGAAAAACGAATATGCTGTGTCAGGTTAGTACTGAATGATTAAAACCCAAGACACGTTTATTTTGTTAAAGTTTATATAATCAGAAGTTTGTTTTCAAGGACATTGGAAGTTCATTTAAAAGATTTTATTTTAAGAAAAAAGTTTTATGTATTTTTTAATATCCTGCAAGCCCTGAATATTATACAAGCTTAAATGCAAAAATAACATTTCTACTTACAGCAAACTCCTCAGGAGTTACTTTCAACACATCAAATACAACTGCATCGTAGCTTTTATTGGCATAATCTGAACTTCGCCCTTCCAGAGAATCTGAGCTGCTACTACCCTACAAAGAAAAAATAGTAGGCTTATCTGCAGAATGATGAATTTCATGTCAAATTCAGAAAATAAATACGTGTAAAAATATTAAGAAATGACAAGAAAATGTATGAACTTCAAAAAGCTTCAGACACTGAATTATAAAATTTAGTTTAGCATGGTTCATGAATGTTTCCAACTAACTTTATGCTGCAAAAACTATAGTGACATACAATTTTAGCTCTATGAAATTCCCAGCTTTAGAAAGCCATTTTTAAAATCATAGACTAGATAAGGGAGTTGTCACATAAAGGAAACATGTTGAGATTTTGAAGATTCATATTCAATGGGAATTTTTTAATTAAATATGCAAGGTAAAGAATGGGTAGATCCAAATCATGCTGCTCTATCCATAACATTATAAAAAAGGAAAAACTGACATGTCCTGAAATTTAACCCAATGTTAGCTCCAGGGTACTATAGGATAGTACTGCGTCTTGCCTTAAAAATTGGTGCCTTGCCTTCCTTTTGAAGTTTCTGTCCTTGGGCTCAGATGTAGGGACTTGTGGCTCATTTTCCTTTCTTCAGGAATAATGTGATTTAATAATAATAATAGCATTATTTTTCTATTTCTTATCTTAAAACTTAAAACTTACGTGCAATAAAAATATATGCACGTAAAATCTTAAGCCCTTACCTCACTGAGGTTATTTGTTTGCTAGAAGAACATTGTTGTCAAAACAAGGTGTTCTGGCATCTTAACTAACTGTGGCATGTAATTCTCACTTAAAACTGTCTTGGTAGCAAAGAACTAGCCGATTCCCCCCCCCCCCCCCCCCGAGTATGTGGGGAACTACTGATTGGGAAGCCTGAGATTTGTACTGGACAAACCCAAGAAGAGAATAAAGGAGAATTAGTAGAAACACAGATAGGTATGCTATATCAGGAAATTTCCAAGTTAGTATTTAGAAAGAGAAGCACTGCCTCAGTATATACAGACACTTGGGTAAAGGAACATGATTAATACGTTCTTGTTGGGCTTCCAAAAGATTTTTGACATGGTTCCTCACTCCAAAGACATTAAGGAAACTATGCAGCGCTAGCATAGAGACTATCCTTGCAATGATAAATAATTAGTTACAAGACAGTAGTTACAAGCACTGAGAATATGTGAATCAGCAGAGAATTATGCATGGATAAGTGATGATGATTATATATTCAACAACCTGGAAAAGACAGTGAACAATGAGGTGACAATTTGTTGATGATTATGGATCTTAATTTTATTTATTCAATGTGGTAAAACAAAAAACAAAACCTGGCAATGAAAAACTGAAAAGGGACTTCACAAGATTTGGTAAGTCTGGAAAAGGAAAAGAGAAAATATATAAACAGAGTATGAATATGCTTCTTTATAAATCCATGGTGCACCTAAGCTTGGAATACATATGCAGTATTAGTCTCCATCTTAAAAGGGATATCAAAGAACTGGAAAAGTTTCAGAACAAGGCAACAAGGATGATCACAGGTATGGAATGGCTTCTTTACAAAGAAAGACTGGCCATGCTAGAAATCTTCAACCTGGAAAAGAGGCAGTGGGTTGTGGAGAGGAAGTACAATAACAAACAACGTAAGCAAGAGGAAAGATAGGAATGGTCTCTCTTTGCTTCATCTAACACCAGGAGAAGGGGTTAACAGTTAAAATCAGAGATGGATTTTAAATGAGTAAGGGGATACAGATCTTCACACAGCATACAGTTAAGCTGAAAAACAGCTTGTTATGGGATTCTGTACAAACTAAAAGATTACACAGATTCAAACAGGGGACTAGGTAAATTTATGGAAGACAAATACACTGAGAGATCACAAACAGGACCTTCCCCTCAGGAAGTCCCTGGGCTGCAAACAGCTGTGGCCAGGAGATGTTTCCTGTGCTTGCACTGCTCTTGTGCCCTTCTTCAGGCACTTGCTGTTGGCCACTATCAGAGGCAGAATAATGGATTAGAAGAATCTTTGGTTTGACCCTGGAGACTTCTTATGCTCTGATCTATGACAGATATTTCTGTTCTGAGAAAACAATGTGCGAAAGTCTTTTTTTTTTTAATTATTTTGAAGAGGAATTTCAAAATTGTGTGTTCACATACACAATTCAAGATGTCCCCCATCTTGAGAGAATGAAAAACTATTTTTGTTAGTCTGAGGGCATTTATACTATGTTTGAGAAAATGACCTTCTGCAGGGCACAGCTGTATTATGTATTTTTGTTTTGTTCTAAGGTTTTTAAAGATCAGCTCAAAGCTGATTTGTTTCATGAAAATCAGGACAACAGCTTTGAAAGGATCAAGTTGTGTGTGCAAAAGGCACCACTACAATGGAAAAACTTGCTTCACACAGCTCTTCAGCTGTCTTAAGAGATGAAGAAGTAGAATTTTTCGACCAGGGAACAATTTAATCAAAATGTTACCTTTTTTAAAAGCAAAAAGTACCTCCAATCATACATTTAAAACATGTGCTTTACTGGGCAAGCTTTACTGTAGCTGATTTCTAATATTTCATCATAATATTATGTGAAAGTAAAAAACCAGAAAAACTCAGTAGGGTAACTAATTCCCAAGCAGTCCTCAGTTGGCTGTCCTGGACCTACAAACACAGGTTGTTAGCTGTGCACAGCAGCTCAACACAGAACTAGGTAGTTTTTGGAAATAGCATGACAGAGCTGCCTGGTCTCCAAAGGATACAAAGGGTTAAAATGAACAAAGTCTCACAGAGCACTTTCTTACTAGTAGACTAGTAAATGCCAAAAAAGATTCAACTGGAATATTTCTGACTGGCTCCATTCAGATGGTACATTACATTGCTCTTAACTCATTAATAATAAACAGCTGCTGTGAGTTACAGGTCAAAAATGCCATTTAGAACTAATCTAAATGAGTAATCATCATCAACAACAATAAAAAAAATAGGTTGTGAACACTCAGAGCTATGAAGTGTTCTAAAATTACTCTGTTGTCAAATAGTACACAGTTCGTAAGAAAAAGGACTGACATGACTGGTAGTGGAAAGGGCTTCTGTGAAAGTTGAAAGAAGCCAAAATTTCCATTTTAATACAGGAGCTAACAAAAAACAAGGAACTGTACCTCTGGAGTGGCGGAGGTGACCATCACACTGGCCATGAGGTCATTCCTTTTATACATGCTCTCCCCAAGACACAGGAAGTTTCAGCTCATCCAGCACTGGTGAGACAACATGATGAATACAGAATTCCTGCAAAGTAAATGTATTCGTGCATATAAATAAATAAAATTAAAAACCCCCAAACACAACAATACAAGAGATTTCATTGTTCTTTCTCAGAGAAAAGAACTTCAGGAACAAGATGATCTTAGGAGCTAGATTCTCTTTTCTTTTTCGGATACCATCTTGTGAAAGAGTATAACTGAATATCACTAAAGCCATGCCAAGTCCTTACCCCTACTTCCAACCAACTCAAGAAATGTAGGGGGGGGGGACCCACCACCAAAAAAAAAAGGGGGGGGGGGGGGGAGTGTATTATTTGTCATTTATGTTGAATTAGGTTCTATATGAAGTCCATGCTAGGCAGTATTCATCTAATTAGGCAGGTTACCTTAAGATATTTTAAAATAAAAAATCCAAGCTATTAACTGACTGAAAAAGCGATGCTTCCTCACCTTTCCCTGCTCGTCACTTGAATTAGTCTCATAACTGGTGATTTAAGTCCCACTGTATCTTTCTAATGCGCAAATCCTATTTGCAGCTGCTTAGGCCTCCACTAATATCTATAGAGACAGGTGTGCCTGAAAGCATTTTATGTCAGGCCCCAAAGAACAGAAGTTTTCCAGAGAAAAGAACCGGACAACATCATCCTTCTTAGTTGGAAGGATGAACCTCAAGGATTTCGGCTAATCCAGCAACAGCACTGTCTGAAGTGAGACTTTTTCCAAACTGGATTAAGCAGACAGATGCAGTTCCAAATTGGCTTAGGACTTCACATATGTAATATACCTTAAGCTTCCTCCAGAAACAAAAAGACTGGACTGCAAAAAACCTGGGTATGTGGTACCATGAAGAAGCTGCCTCTACCCACTTAGATCAAATAATCCATTCCAGAAATACGAAGTGTTTAATGAAAACTAAAAAAAAAAAAAAACCCCCAAAACAAAAACCACCACAAAAAACCCCACCACAAACCCAAAACCCAAAAAAACACCAAACCACTGATCACAACAGTAATACTCATATCAAAAAGAACCATCAATCTTGAAATAAAGCACAAATAATTACAAGACAGCATATTCCTGAGTATTGAACAAAGGTAAGTATTAAGTATTTATAAATATTTATCTCCCTGATATCAGGAAATCAGATTTCATCTTCTTGGATAGATGTTAATTATTATACACTAAAGGATATGCACCATATGGACATAGGTGGATATATACTTCCACAAATCTAATTAAGTTGCATCTCATTCAGAAAAAATAGAATTTGTATGTAAATAGGCACAACTAAAGTGAGAAGAACTGACATGATTATAGACTCAATTCAAATAGCAAGGGTACTCATAAAAGAACTACACACACATTTTTAAATAAAATCACTTACCCAAATGACAACAACAGATACTTCCAGGCACAAAAACATTCCTTATGGTCAAAATTTTATGTAAGGGGAACTGAAGGGAATCCTAAGCAATTTTATTTTCAAATCTACACAGCAAAGAAAAATTTGACCAAGAGATCAGCTAATTCAGAAAATCGCTCAGAAGGCTTTTTCACGTCATTTAAAAAATTGTCACCAATGGATATGTCTGGTCTCTCTCCCCCTCACACTGGGCCTCTGATTACTGCTGCAAAACTTAAGAATTAATTCATTGTTCCTATAGAAGATACTGTTTGGAGACAAGCATTCTCTGTTTTTATCTGAAATGAAGTAAAAGCCAGAACCAAAATTCAAATTCTACTCTCAAACATAGCAAAAACAGCCTTCACACAGATACTGTATTTGGTGCATTTTGGGCATCCAAACTACCTCCTAGCTTAACAGGTTAAAGCTGCCCTTTCATTAATGGTCCAACAACAATTAGCACAATGACACAGTACCTGCCAAAGTCCTTCAGTCAAACGTTCAACATAACACATTATGCTCTTATCTTAATCACTGAAAATTTTGTCAGCTGATACATCATAGTGATGTATTTGAAGTTTATGTTCATTGAATCATGAATTAGAGTCCACATAATCTCAAATCTAAGACTACCCTTACATCGTAAACAATCTTATAGGAATACATTAACAGATTCTTAGGACTACAATGAAATGGCTGATGAAGTGAACAAGGGGACAGCCGTGGATGTTTACAAGCCTTACTGAAGTTACAGTGTTCAACATGATCCATTGCTAACATTCTTTATAGAGAAGGTCTTAGTACAGGATCTGCCTCTCACTTTGTCAGGTAAGCGATGCTTTGCAAGATTCAGATCCGAGAATCCAAACGGAACCTTAAGTGAAAGCTTGTTAAGATGGGCATAAAAAAAACCTAACACAGTTCAGACCTGGAGGATCGTGCAGAAGAGACTGCTGAATCCAAACACCTGTCTCAAAAGAAAGAAGAACTTTCCCTCCCAAATTAAATAATCAGTATTATGCCCATGGGGTGAAAACTAAACTACCTGACTATTTCTAATTATTAAACCTAAATCGGCTGCTAGGGACAGGTTAAAATACAGACACCATATAGCCCTATTTCACTGTGCGAAGAACTGGCAATGTTGCAGAAAGTTTACACACACTTCAGGCATGCTGCTAGCAGACAGCTAGCAAAAATTTTTCAGATCCAGCATGCACATACATACTAAGAACAGAACTATTCGTGTATGTCTCTGCGTGTGTATAAGCATGTGCACACACAAAAACCAAGAACTGTTTACAGAATTACCAAGTCAGCTCAAGCTCTGATTCACTTTAAATCGAGAAAACGAACAGCATGGCCATTTCATCATTCCCCACAGCACACACAGAGGAACCCCATGGCAACCACTGCCACAGACTCCTGTACATGTACTCTTTTAGCAAAATCTGCAGTTGCTCAAATATGCAACTAGGGATACTGCCACATCCCCCTTTGCATTCTCACCCTTTCCTGCAACACACTGATCACACAGACATGAAAATGCTGGAAAAGCAAGCAGCTGAAAATAAAAATAACCTCTTATTTTACTTCCTTGAAGACGATGAGGTCTTCCCCCACCTGTCATCCCTACAAGACAAACAACAACTCTCCCCATGATCTCATGGGCATGCATGAAACAAATCAATAACTGTGTTTCAAATAATCTCCTCAGTTAAATTAGTCAAAAACCAATTTCCTTGTGTCCTGATAAAATTAACTCATATTTTGAGCACTAACAGACTGCAAAGTATTTCTAGGTCTGGAGTTGCTCCTGTTAATAGTCCTTAGAGATACTGTAGTGGAAAGCAATTTTCATCATGTAATTTCTTTAAAACGTGGCATTTAAATCAAGGCCACAAAAATATTCTTGTCTCCTCCTTCTCCGCCTTTCTGACTAGGCTTTCCAGTGTGCGGGGGCTCAAATATGCTCTGAAAGGGGAAAGAAAAATCCCATATGTGATCTTGTATCCTGTCCAAGCTCGGTTTTACTCCAAGTTTTAACGTTCACTAAACCAAAAAGAGACAAAAATGCTTTAATATCTGAAACCAAAAGCACTAACATACTTTTGCCTTTCAACATTCAGTACATAGAAAAAGCTTGCAAGGTTAGATACTTTCATTCTAAAAAGGACCAAAATAGATTCCCCCTCCCCCAAAATGTTTCAAATACAACACAAGCATTAAAAATGCACTGTTTTTTCCTATGTGCATAGGTTTCTCCAAGATTCACATTTCCTATGAAAAAATACTTCTCTATACACCCATTTGTTTTGCTGTCTTGAGGAAACTCATAGGGAGCAATTATCCTTTTAAGTCAAATCCAAGGAAGAGTTTTTATTCTTATAAAATCACCTGGCAATTTGAAGTATTTCCACACCTGCTATCACAAAAGGTATTACTCTGCAAATTAAGTAACACTGGAGCTACTACTATGCCTACTGTAACAAAAGGCTGTCAGACTACATATGGAAAGATATTAAAAATAATTAATATAAAAGCTGTTCCCCCATACTTGCAATATATCATTCCAACAAGATTAAAAAGAAATTTTTTTAAATTCTGAAAACGATCAGGGGTCCAATAAGTTGGCAATAAAAGGTAAAAAGTCACTAAAATGATGTATAATCTCTTTTTACAGCTTTTGCTTCTTAAAAATTCTTTCAGCTTGCTCAGGTTAATCATTAAAATGATGCATTATACACAGAGTGCTAAAAAAAAAACCACAAAGAAAACACCTTATCTGTTTGTACGGAAGGTTCACAGGTACATTGCAGTAGATTTCATTCATAGATTGCCAGAAGCAAAGTGGATAAATCAGGATGCAAACATACATACCACCAGAGGCTGTCTGTTCTTCTTTGCCAACTTAACAAACCCATTTAGATATGTAGTTCTCTCTGAAGCAAAAATGAAGACAGTGCAAGAACAACTAAACTGGAAAAAACAAACAAAAAAAACACCACCATCAAAACCAAGCACAAAAATAACCCCTATAGCCATTATTTTACCAGCATTTGTTAAATTTTGTCATCTATGGCACAGAAGTGACATTCTCTGAAAGCAGAAATGCAAATTTTACATTTCTGTTACTAATATACATGTAATCCAGTTACAATGACCATAAGTTCATTCTCATTACTAGTTATCCAACTCACAAGAAAGTCACTGAAAGACTCAAGCACAGATACCACCTCTGGCCAAGGAAGTCCCTGTGCCCTGATTTCTGAATGCTAGCAGAGCAATCTGGGGAAGTTACTCACTATTCACACTGCTCTCAGCAAATATGAGAATAACCATGTAAGCAACCACTGATGACCATTGTTCTTATTGATTTTCCTGTCGGAGGAAAAAATATTGAGCTAGACAAGCTTTTGATCAGACCTGGTATGGCCATTCTGGGGTCCAAAAGTTAACTGCCTTAGCTGATTTCAAACCCCATTTACTTACTACTTTCATTAGTTCATATGGGTTTCCTATGTCATGAGCTAACAGCTGCAGCATGCTTTTAGGAAAACGTATTTCGGTATTCTACCAAAAGATAACTCCTTTCTTAAGCTTAAATCAGCTGCACAACTGGTTTAGTAAAGACAATTAAAGTGCACTAGGGCCCTGTTTGGGCACTGATAAACTTGGTTGGAACCAACAGAAGTTACCAGTTGGGTTTGTTGGGGTTTTGTTTTGTTTTTTAAAATAAATTTAGTATAGAATAGTTCCAGTTGGAAGGGACCTACAATCATCATCTAGTCCAACTACCTGACCACTTCATGGATGACCAAAAGTTAAAGCATGGTATTAAGGGCATTATCCAAATGCCTCAAACACTGACAGGCTTGGGGCATCGACCACCTCTCTAGGAAGTCTGTTCCAGTGTTTGACCACCCTCTCGGTAAAGAAATGTTTCCTAATATCTAGTCTGAACCTCCCTTGACTCAACGTTGGAACCATTCCCACACATCCCATCCCTGGATACCAGGGAAAAAGAGAGCAGCACCTCCGTCTCCACATCCTCTCCTCAGGAAGCTGTAGAGAGCAATGAGGTCGCCCCTCAGCCTCCTTTTCTCCAAGCTAGACAAACACAGAGTCCTCAGCCATTCCTCAGAGGACATGCCTTCCAGAATTTGGTATCAAACATCAGAATGGTTAGCTGCCATCGACCAAGATAAGGGAATGAAGAATACTGAAAGAATCTTGCTTTCTACCTCCAGCAAGATTAACAATATACTATTCCACTTCATTGACAATTGCCACAACCTAAGGACACATTTACAATAGACCATATAGAGCTCCATATTCAATTCTGAACTGTTTTTCATCATTGCACTCATTTTCCTTTCTTCATTCCAAAACTGTTCTTCCAGATGTTCACCATTACAATGTTTCTTTCCTTGATGAACCACGAACAAAGTCATATTCAGATGCTGTGGGCGTAGAGTACAAACAAGAATATGTTAGCACAGTTAACATACTGGAAGAGGAAAATGGGACTGTATTACGAAAACAGGATGAAACAATGTGGTTGTACTTGTGCCCCTGTGCTTGCATTCAGCCACCGATGTGAAAAACTTGTATCACCATCTACATCACATCCAGCTTCAGCCCAGAGGCTCCTAAGAGGGAGGAAAAAAGTCCCATCTTTGTGTTATTGCTAAATAAAGAGAAAAAGGCAATTAGCTCAAGGTATCTAAAAACATGTGTTGCTTGTTCTCCGTATCTAGATGTTTAAATACCTTTTTTCCCCCTGCCAAGTTTATTTTGTTTAGTATCATCATTTTAATATTAAAAACAGAAAAAAAGTAAATTTTCAAAATCCTTCTGAGTCTGAGCAATTTACAGCTGTTTTGTCATTGCAGTGACAGAGCAAGCCAGTCTGGAAGGATTTCTAGAAGAGAATTTCTTTAAAACTTTCAAAGAAGCAGCTGCTGAGTGCCATGTGGATACTTGCTAACCTAGAAAAAAGTTAATGCACAAACCTCAGAACCATTGAGTAACACTGGTGTAAAACCATTTTATTCCTGACTGATGGCATCCCTCCCAAAAGTTTAGTACATTCAAACACCACATCATATCTTCACTTTCCTGAGTGCCCCTGTCCAGTCAAGTATCACCTCTCAAACCCCATTTCTCATCCCCTCACACGATTCCTGCAAAGTGGAGAGGAAAAGGACCACATCTCCTATAGTAAAGGCAGAAATGATCCACATGAACCCCAATTCCTTCAGAAAATAGCAATCTTTTGCATGCCATTCTGAGCCCTTTCATGACATACAATGCATGCACAAACGCACATATGAGACTGGACAGTTGAGTTGTCTAAATAGTCACAATGCTTTATATGAAGAAGCTCTTTTCATTTCAAAAGTCCTTTTGAAATGATTCAACATTAGACCTCGGTGGCCATTTTGTACAACATGAAAAGTTCAAGTATTCAAAAGCCTGGATTTAAATAATAATTGCCTGCTAACAGTTTAATAAGAAAAAAGCAATTAGGCTATAGAAAATTAAAAAGCCATTACATTTATATGACTAAAGATCCTCCTAAGCAAAAACTGTCTTGTGTATTTTCAGTATCCGTTTCACCGCAAAGTCCCTAATATATTTAATTATGTTTTAGGCAACAGTACCACCTATAGATAAAATATGCCATGAACAACTTAGTAGTTTCATGCACATTCTTTTCTGAGAAACTTCTTACTATAGTTAATGAATAATAATGAAAATGTAATGGAAATAATGTTTATAATTTAGTACATAAATCCCCATATTGGGCTGTGACAAGACCCAATGATGATACACCTTTTGAAAGGAAACAGCACGCCAAAGTTTAGTGCAGCAACTTGTATCTGTTACTGTTATGCTACCAACACAAATACAGAAGTTGAGCAGAACTAGCAAAGTAAGTGTGTCCCAGATTCAGGATCACTAGACCTGTCAATCTTCAATAGATTGAAATAGGATTTTAACCAAAACCACTATAAACATTATTAAGGGTCTGTGGAATGTGTTAACCCCACTGATTTAGTTGACCAAAAACTGCAATCACTGAAGTAAATCAATATTCAATAACATGCATCGTTCCTGAGCAAACAGGCTGAAAAACTGATTCTTGCAGCACCTCCCAATAGCTGCCAATGAATCAAATCTAACTCATGAAAAAGCAGATTCAAAGTTGATTTCTCTTACTAAAATTGTCTCAACTCTCCTACTTCCACCCCTCTAGTGCATGTACGCTCAAGTGAGTTCTATCATGAGGAGAGAAGCAGCTGCTGTGATGAGTTTAAGAAACAGCTTCAGAATCCAGGTCCCAAACTCTTTGCATTTTATGAATACACAATTGATTTGAATTATACCTAACAGTAGGTTAAAAACAACATCTGAAGCTCAGGTCATGCTCTTATGATACGCTCTACTTGACTAGTCACATGTTAGACTAGACTGCCACAGATTCCTTTGTCATAGCCATGTTGCCCTACAACAGTCCCAGTCCTGGATTTTCAAAATAACTTACTGTCATAGGGCAACCTGGATGCAAAGAAATCTGTGGCAAATGCTACACCAAAAAGGTAAGCTGACATTCTACAAGTTGAATAAAAATAAGGTCTTATTATTTTTCAAAATTATAATGAACGCAAAGTCCCCGTCTTATAGTTTAAGAGCTGTACGTGTAATCTCATAACGAAAAGGCTCTTCATAATGCTCCTAAACTGTCAAAATTTATTTCAAAATTATTAAAAATCTCACAGGAAGAGCAGGAGGCTGACAATGCAGGTTTGAATGTGCGATGCTATTTTTACCCTGATTATGCCCCATATCTTTACTATATCCACTGATAATTGAGTTTACTCTAATGACCGTTTATTATATTTACAAGTTAACTATTAAGTGTTCTCTTCTCCTCTCTCCATCCTGCTATCTCTACCATCATTAATGCGTCAAAAAGTAAAGTAATGATATGACCACCTTTAGAGGTCCCTTCCAACCCAAACTATTCTATGATTCTATGATATGATCAACACTACTTATATAAGCAAAAAAAAAATCATAAAGTGACATTCTACTACGAAGGATCTCAGGCTGCATACCTAAACAAATTAAGACAAGAAATACAGTGCAACAGTGTACATTTCTAATAATTAGAAACTGTTTGAAGAACTTTGCATAGACTGTGGAATTTTATCCGTGTCTGGAAATCTTTACATCAAGGTTGAATTTTTTTAGATAAAAATGCAAAATAACCCCCTACAACAAGACTGAGTGAGAATTCGAGGAAATTTTATGACATACAGTATAGAAGACACCAGTGATTATCGCCAGAGTCCTCTCTTGTTTTCATGATCTAGATATCATATCAACAAAAGCTTTAATACTGAAAATCACTGTCTTGAGCAACAGAAACTACTAAGAATAGTATGCAACTACACTTGGCAAGTTCCACCAGCATGGACAAAATGAAATCGTCACTGCAAAGCCCAGACTCTGTAGTAAACATCCGTAAGAAAAGTGGGAACCAGTAAACAGTTTGTTAATTTGTCATACAAACATGGATTTGCTGGGAAATGGCAAGGTGACTTAAGCTCTCCTTTAGCTTGACTGATGTGACACTCCCATATCACAGTATTGCAGATACTCCTCCCCAAGCTAGATAAAAGCTGCATCATGGTAAGTTATCAGCATCTGGAATGTATTTTCTGCTTCTGCAAACCAAGCTTTCCATTTTCATTGTGAAACTGGCAAAAATGCCTCTCAACTAAAGTAGTAATTTCTAGTCAAACATTGCATTCTGATTTAAATTTCTCATCAAATCCAGTTGAATTTTCATATTTAGTCCCAGCCTCAAGATTAGAAGACACCCTGCCTGTCACACTAAACATCATTAACATATTTTGAAATAGTATATAAATATGTTATATATTTTTTTATATATATATATAAACTTT